GAGATTATCAACCTTTCCCCAGATTAATGCGGTTTATTCCCATATTACTGAATACAGGTTGTCACAGGTGGGTTCACACATCAATGTTATATCAGAGAATTTGCAATTGGCTGCTAAATTTCTCTCTTAGACAACTTCTACAATCAGTGTAAATATAATTGTTGGAATATTATTAGAGTCAGGAGCAAAAGTGGACAAACTGTCTGACCCGTGTCCATAAGGGAGTAGATTATGTGATTTTGTTGTCGACCATTGTTCTAGACCTCTGACCTTAAATCCAAATTCAGACGTTTGGGTAATAAGCTTAAAAACTCCTGACCCAGTTAAAAAACTGTCGTACAGCTGTAGCTGGTAATGAATAACAATTATTTGAAGTATATGACACTGGTTTAATGAAGGCAGTAAGAGTACTTGGCTTGACAGAGGATGGCCGCCTGGTGGACTGGAATGGAACAGCTTGTTGTAGTCATTGTCAGCAGGTGAATTAGCACTTGGTCTTTACATGGTGATGAAGATGCAGTTCTTTGAAAAAAAAAGTTCTGGCAACTTTTGGTCGAAATACGGCTTTAGTCACCCTTTTGAAAAGTGTGTTTTACTCCAAAACATATTCACAGAATGAATACAAAACCTCAATGCCAAACATTCTCAGTCAAAAGTTTGAGCAAACAGGCGATTCTGAACAACGTGTTCCACTGCTACATTATGAAGTGTACTGTTCAGTACATATTAACAGACTCAAGGTAGAATTCATGGTAATCTTCCTCCCTGTGGAGAGAACAGACTTTTCCGCACTCGCTGCAGCCTCATTTCTACACAATTACTCACCCTTCACCCGTTCAGAGTCATTTCAGGCCAAATGCACATTCAATTTGCTAATCCCATTTGTACTTCAATTGACTCACACAGCTGTTGGTTTATTGTGAACATTGTTGTGTAACTTCCCTCTGTGTCTGTTCCTCATATGCACGTCAAGTCCCTGTTGTAAGAAGTTAAGGGTCTTGTACGTATGTTTGGTGCAGTCTGATCTTTATATTACAATTTCTGGGAGAGTAATTAAGATGTCTGCAGTGAAAGCTCCTCCTTATCCAAAAGAATATTTCCATTCATCAATCGTAGATCTCATCAGATTCAGCCCAGTTCCAGTTTATTCATACACATGCTGAGGCTTTTTTTTTTTTCTCCTTCTCTTGTTCCTCACAGTACTTTGTGGAGATCCTGAAGGCCAAAGGAACCCTGAGGCAGGACATTAGAGAAAACATCTTCAGTTCAATTAAAGCAATTCATTCCATAAACCAGTAAGTACCCTCTGAATAATTTAAAGAATATCTCTGCTTTGGAGACTGTGGTGAAGATTATTGGGTCGTCTCTTGTCTTAGAATGAAGTCAAGATACACTCTTGGTTTGCATAAGCATAGTCCTTATCTTCACCATTAGTACAAGTCAATAATGTTGTGTTCCGGCATGGAGGTGTTCTCCTCTCTGATGGTTTGTTTTCTGCATATCAGGGGGAATTACTCCAGGTGCTATCACAAGCCGAGAGCATTATTGTTTCCATTGAAAATTCATGAGCTTGTTACGTACCCGACCTGCTGTTGAAAATGGGCGGCTGATTAAAAGTCAGAACTGATAGAAACTGATCTTACTGCATGTCTAAAAGTGAAAATTGATCTCACGCTGTTCAAGTAAAATCTCCAAATGCACTTGAAAGAGTTCAGAAAGTTTGGTCGCGCGAATAAAAGGTTGATGTTTGAAGTTGGTGCATGTGTACAGGCCGAGGCGCTGGATTCAGTGAAGGTATCCATAAATCAATGGAGAAGAAAAACAGAGCTTACAGTAGGAGTCTGTGTTTGAACTCTGATACCAAAATGTATGTTTTTCTTTCAAAGAGGTAAGATTTCAACTTTGATGGATTTGAGTCTCACTCTATCAGTAAAAGACTTGGAAGTATGTATGATCACAAAGTTTCAGTTAGTAAATGATATGCACAGTACTTCAATTGTATTACTAATTGAATTTGGGTCCAGTTTGTAATATTCATTGCAACATATATTTTATAAAAATAAATCAGTATTCTAGACCAAAAATTAAATATGATGACAACCCCAGACAATACCACATTACATACAGGTCAGTTAATGGATTGAAGCAAGTTACATGTGCAACTATGGTTCTATGAACTCTGGACGACTACCGGATATATTATCCTGACATTAACATGGCTGGCACATTATGTGGATTGTCAGATGAAGAGATGGAGGGAGGTATCCCTGTGGCTGCCTATTAGTGAAGGGTTTGTGTTTTGCGGACTCAAACACTTCACCCACCCCTCCTTCGGCATAGGGGTGAGTGGATAATGAGTGAATTTCTTGATTTAAAAATTTTTTTAAATACCATAAATCAGAATTGTATTAGCTTACAGTTACATTTACAGTACAAACAGTTGTAGAAAGAGAAAGGATAAGAGCACTTTCTGAATTCACTGCTGATTATTATAGACTTTGTAAAAAGTCAAGGCCCTGGATTTGAGAAACCCATCAGATTTGCAGTCTGCACACAGTCTAATGGACAAATCATACAGAGCTCAGTATCAGACGGCATGACAAACTGTGGTGTGGGAGCTTGGAATACCTTTGATTTTGAGAATTCCATTTCCAGGCAGATAATGAGTTGTGTGGGTTCCCACAAGCTCACGTCTTCTGCAGACTGACGGGCTTTCTTGTTGAGAGTTGCACAATGAAGATTGAAGTATGAATTACACAGTCTCATGTATTGGATAAATGGTTCTGCACATCTTATACGTCTTCATTATGAGCCCCTCAGCGAATCAATGGTTGAACATAATGGCAAGCACTCCATTTAAAAAATGGTCCATGGAGACACAATGTCTTCGCGCCAGACTTATTTACCACTGTTAAGTGATTGATTATAGATTTTCCCATATTCTTTTCACTTTCTCTCACTCTGACATTTGGCATTCATTGAATATAGGTGTCCCAGTGCCGAGAGTAATTGATAGTAAGTGGTGATAATAAGATCTCATAGATGGATATGTGTTTGACTCTGTCGTCTATCTGTCACACGTGAGACATCACGTTTTATAAAGTGTACGTCTCACTGCATTACTGCATTAAACAGGCTGACAATGATAAAAAGACATCTTGTTACTGCTTCTGCCTGCAAGCATGCCGGTACTCCGTATCCAGTTTGCAGTACTTTGCAGCTCCAGATCATACTTAATCATATCATATCATATTAAGCGGAAGATGTCTCCGAGTCAATTCAATTTTATTTGTATTGCGCCAAATCATACATTCATTATCTCAATGTACTTATTGACGAGACAGTACTTTATAGAGAAACCCAACTAGCAAGCACTTGGTGTGTACAAAGAAAAACTTTGGAAGAAACCTCTGTAAACAGTAGGGACGCAACAGATCACAAAACACTCGGTTCTGATCGTATCACAGTTTTTGAATTTTCAATCATATTGTTTTTCAAATAGATGAGGATGTCTACATTGTCTGGGGAGAGGGTAGATGTCTTTGCAGTAACTATGTCCCCTGCTGTGGAGAAGTGCCAGGGACAGAGAGGTAGCGTCCTGCCATCATAGCAATATGAGGGTTTTTACACTCATTTCTTTTCCACCATGCCAGTGAATCACCATCCACTAGAATGCCACTTGCTCCCTTGCAGGATGCCCACCTCCTCTTTGATGGTGCAAACTTTTCTTGCTTGTGTCCATGCTCTCAAAGGTATCCCCATAAAGCTCCTCCATGGCCGGCTTCTTTTGTGAGTCTGGTCCTGTCAATGTCAGCTCTGTGGCCCTGCAGAGAAAATGACAGGATCTATAACTACGACTATATTATTAGTTTTTATAGAACTAGAATTGTGGCGATAATATTTAATAAAATCCATTATTATTCAAAATAGATAGAAGTTTTACATTTTGAATAGAAACCGTGGGAAACAACATGCACATGAAAGGCTAAACAAGCAGGTCACAGTATGATGGAGCTCCAAATGGATGTTGAGCGTTCTGCGGTTTCTGAAGAATCCAATACTAAGAGAATCTACGGAGACGTACTTTAATTGGATGATTTTTTGCAGCATGGCACTGATACCTGAGACGAGTTGTTGATCCTCACGCAGCAGCAAGAAACCACTTTGCCAGTGTCAGAAACATTCTGTGAGAACTGTGCTTTTCAACTCCACACAGTTCAGTTCTCTGACCCTAAATACAAGCGCAGAAGGTATATTCGTCTGATCTGATCTGATCTTTCCGTCTTTATTTATCTAAATTCAGAGTAGAGTGGGAAAAGTGCCAATGACTTCTGTCCTCATTAGGGCAAGATATCTGAATATATCGATAGGTCGTGCCATTTATTCTGCTTCTAATTGTCTGTGTCGAACAGAGTAGGCAGCAGACGCAGGAACCCAATTATTCCGAGCTTCTAACATGACAGACAGGAAAGAGCCGTCATTGCATTCAGATAGGAGCAAACAATCTGCAATGAATGTAATGTGATGCAATGGGGATGAGGAGGGTTTCTCTATCAGTCGATAAATTGATTATTTCTGTAATCTACTGATTATTTTCAAATAAGTTAATACATAGATACATAGATTACTTTATTCATCGCCAAAGGAAATAAATCCTTTGGTTAAATTAACCAAATAAAAATGATAATAAACTCTACCAATTATCATTCAACCTTTTACGCAAATACATTTCATGATACTATACATTGATAAAATTAAGTTCAATACAATGTTGGCCCTGATTAGTAAATATGTTTTTTACTGTCATACCATGAATCCCGGGTTTATTGAATCAAATTACTACTTCACTGTACTTTTAAGGGTGCAGACCGAATAACACCAGTACTACCAGGTACGATTCACATTCATTCAATCGGCGCCAAATTTCAGTACCTGCGAGCACATCTGGGTGAGAGAGTATGTACACGCGAGTGAGTGAGAGAGTGTATGTTAGATAAAGAGCCAGAGAGCAAGACCACGTGACTCGCCCCTGGAATGTGATCAAGCCAAGCTCATTTCTAATCAGTGCACACAGTCAGAACAATGGTGAGTCAGTGGCGCAGACTCCCAGGGAGCCATGCACAGGGAGCCTGTTTGGGTCTTTTCAAACATGTTTGGACGGTGAAAAAGTTATAGTCTTACAGTTCTTACCGGCTCTGTCAGTAATTTACTGCTCCTCTCATGCCGCACACTGCCGACTGAATGAAACCAAACGGAGAGCGCCCTGCCATGTCCTCCGACTGTCCGTACTTTGACTAAGTTTACAACTTCTGTTGTTTTTACAGAGTCTGAGTTCTGAATTTTTGGCCAGGTGGAGAAAGTCCACAGAGACTACGGAGCGTCTCACTCGGGACATTTGCATTTACACGTGCACCTCCTCCAGAGAAAATACGGGGGGAAGTGCAGGGTCCAGTACATGTCGTATGTGTCAACGCAGCATGAACAACACGTCCCATAGTTCACAGAAAGTTACTGTTTCCTATCAGTGATTTCTGGTTATGTTTATTATTTCAGTAATTAGTCATTTGTGTCTCGTGGATGTCCTCGCTCTCTGATTACAATTAGTATTCCTCTGTTCAAGCATTCCCCAAATGAAGGCGTCTCACCCTGAATTGTTTGGTCAAGGTTGTATCCACCACAGATGTCACAACTGCTTGGAATTAATGTGGATTAACGTGTCACACAGAATGCTAATGTTATCTCCTTCCTTGCCGCTGATGGCCAGACAATTTAATTGCTGTGTGTAGGAAAAAAAAAAAAAGTATAAAAATGTAATCCATAATTTCACATTTATCATAATAGCCTCTGGCAGTGAGAGAGGGTGGAAAAAAACGGAAACACAGTTTTTCCCGCCCTTTACCCTCGTTAGAACTCTCTCGGCTGCTCCTGCATCTCCTGATTATGAACAGAGGCTACCTTGGCACGCAACTTCATTAAAATCTATTTAAATCAACTTCAGCTGCAAAGTGTTCCTTTTTACAGCATGTACGAACAGAAGTCTCTGGGAGCATCATTAGAGTAGGACTGTGTGTGTGTATGTGTGTATGTGTGTGTGTGTGTGTGTGTGTGTGTGTGTGTGTGCGTGTGCGTGTGTGTGTGTGTGGTACTTCCTCTAAGTTTGGATAACAAGCTCCTTCACAAGTGTCAACACCCCCAACCAATTGCGTCCGTGTTACTGTAATGTGCCTGACAGGCTGAACGATTGCTTTGCCTCTGCCTTGATCTAGTTGTTTTGTTCCTGAGTTCAGCAGGCATGTTCTCACTACAAAGTGGCCCTGGGTGCCCCGAAGACAGACCCACCATCTGGGTCCCAGGAAAAAATACGTCACCCACAGGGAGAGGGCCTTCAAATAACATGACAGAGCCCCGTCTGCTAAACCACCCATTAACAGGGAAGCAATCCTCTGAACTTTGTTCAACCTCCGCACTCACTCTAAACATGCGTGCCTTGTGCGAAAAGAAAGTTATTTTTAAGGTGCATCTGAGCTGCGTCTGTCCACTGATGAGGAGCAGCAGTTCATTCAGAAGCTGCACTGTACGCTAACCTGTCCATTGTTGGTTGACCGGGAGGAGAACGCCCTGGAAATAGTGACCCAGTGAATTATAAACGATAGAGAACACTCGAGCAAATGTTTGATTGTGTTTGATTTAGGGCTGAATGATGAAAATGTTCAGCGTATTGGATTTAGTCTTGTAGGGAAGATTGCACTGCCTCACCCTCTCCTTCCTATTGTGTAAGGGGAACGTATAGTGGCCTTCAGGTATCAGGAAAAACATTCCTTGGAAGAAGACCAGCTCCTGATATAGAAATAAAAGGATCATTCTGAGGCAACCAAAACACACTTTTGGTTTCAGGAGATAAGATAAGATAAAACTTTATTGATCCCCACAAATTCAGTTGTTACAGCAGCAGGCAAGTCAGAGTGAGGTAGACAAGAGAATACAATTATAAAAAGGAAATGGAACAAAGTAAATTCAGAATATGTACACAATATACACCTTTCTCTGCAGAAATGGTTTGTATTGAGGTGTACAAAAGTATATTTTATATAGTACAATTGTAGAAAGTTGTATATAGATATATAAATTCACAATAGTATGCAATATTGTATGAATATAGAAAGATGTGGGTATGAACTCACAATAAGACGTGTACACAGTATTACTAGTGTGCAAAATGACATTTTACTTAGAAATATTGCAAGTCATATAAGTGACATGACATGAGAAAGTACCAGCTCAGTATTTTATTTTTCAGTACGGATGGGGTTGTAGAGTCTGACAGCGGTGGGAGTGAAGGACCTGCGGAAGTGTTTCTTCTTTTACTGTGGGCGGAGCAGTCTGCAGTTAAAAGAGCTACTCAGGGCCCCCACGGTGTCATGCAGGATGAGAGGTGTTGTCCATGAAGGAATTCAGCTTCGCTAACATCCTCCTCTCACCCACGTCCTCAGTGGAATCCAGAGGGAAGTCCAAGACCGAGCTGGCTCTCCTAACCCGTTTATTTAGTATTTTTCTGTTCCTCCCAGTGCATCCACACCCCCAGTAGAAACACTGCAGAAGCCATCCTTGTTATTTATTCCTGCTCAGCAGATGGAGGTGACTCTAGCCCCTCTTGTACAAGATGTTTCTGTTGGTGGACCAGTCCTGTTTGTTGTTGAGGTCAACAGCCCCGGGTTACACCATCTCCCCCACCATTCCTCTTACCGCCCCCTTCCTGTCAGCCCTCAGCAGTTGAAAGCCGTCCAGAGAGTTGAGCGAGTCCGGAGTGAGTTAATTTAGCCAGGTCTCTGTGAAGCACTCGTGCTAGGTTCCCCGTACTCTCTCTGCAGCCTGGTTAGCGCCGTTAGCTCTTCCATCTTATTGGGGAAAGATCTTTAGTTCCCCATAATCACAGAAGGTATACAAGGTTTCTTCTCCCGGCACTTAGCATCCAGCTCTGCATCTCCTCCTCCCTCTTCTTACCTCCGCGGGGACCTCCGGTCTTTCATAACACTAATGAAATCATCATTATGAATATTATAAACATTCATGTATACACTGATAATGTAATTACAATTTTAATTATTTATTAATTATTTTTAATTATAATTTAATTGCAATTAAGTCATTTTATTTCATGTTTGTGTGTGTGTGTAAGTGTGTTAAACATCGCACTTTTTTGACCAAGACAAGAATAACCAATAGTTGCAATGAGTAAGAATGTTTGTATGTGTCATCTTGTGTACTTTTACTTTTAAAAGTCTTGAAAAATTGCATTCTTTATAGTCGTGGTAAGTTCTGATGTGATATTATTGTGTTTATTTATAGCTCACATCCATTTCCTTTGTTTGCAGATCACTTCTGGTCCATTTGGAGAACGGCTACTTTGGCCGAGGTTTCGACCAGTTCTGTCCACACCTGCAACACTACAGCACGTATGTGGACAACATCTATAATGCCAGCAAAGTGCTCGGGGTAGGAACTCAACATTTCCTTTCCAAGTGGCTATCACTCTGCATCAGACCAATGAGCATTTGACAAGCTGTTCATTACATTAGATTAGATTTTAATAACCCCTGTAGTCAAAGTTGTCAAAAAATTCCTCATGCAATTGTTCACATTATTTAAATCAGAAACTTTAAACTTTCCTTTAAAAAAGTCAGTCAAGACAGAGAATGAGCACGTTCTCTTAACATGCGTCAGATTTGTCAAAATGCTACATCCTTGAATTGTGGACCGGCATTCTGGGAGCCACCATTAGAGATGGTCATATCTATATTGATTTTTTTTAAGAATGTTAACAAAGGATGAGGTAGCACTCCCAAGCGCTCAGTGCAGGGAATCAGTTTGGCCGATCAGAAGAAATTCGATTTTTAAGGAGGTTTCATTGGTTTTATTTTCTTTAAGGAGGCCTGAGCTAATACTATGAATGGACATTTCCCCCTCCATAAACAAACATGAGAGGCTAAAAAACAAATGAAATGTTGCATTAACATTTGAACACAGGCTTATTCCTAATACCTGTTTGCTGTAGGGGCTATATATTCTGCTATTACCAAAAAACCTTATGTGCCTGGGGGAGAAGACACGATGTACGCAGCTATTGCCATTAAACAACATGTAGTCAAGACTGTCTAGTGTGTACAGGACATTTTCATTTACTATTTTCATGGCCAAAGGCAGCAGGAGCATTCAGGTTGTAAACAGGGATATCTGTCATAGCAGACAGCCCAGGAAATCCTTTCTTCCACCTCACGAAACATGACTTGTAAAAACACCTGTATGGCTAAGAGAATAAGTATATGTGTTTTTTGGGTGTTGCCTCAGATCCAGCTGAAGAAAAACAAGGCTTTCAGACGTTTCAAGAAACTACAGGAATCACGACCAGAGTTCAACGACCACAAGTTGGAGGATTTACTGCAACTTCCCGTTCAGCGGATTGATCAGTAAGCCCGCCTTCTGTCTTCTGTGAAAATGAAGGAAGTCTATATGTCCCTTTTCTATTTCTATTTCATACCCAAGTTGTATAAAAACAACTTTGCACAGAGAAAAGACACATTTTGAATTGTGTGTTCTGCTGTTCCACCATCACGAGTTCTGTTGTGTCACAGATTTCACACTTGAGCTCCTCGGTTACTGTTTGGTTTGTTTGTTTTTTCACCAGTCACCCGCTACGTTGCACCACGTATAGCGTCCGTGACAGATGTAATCATTATTATTTGATGTAGCACACATGTAGCACTCAGACTGTCCAGAAACTGTCAAAATCCCTTTTGTTAAACACCAGTATTTGTTAGCTGTAATTTCACGCGGTCTTGATCTTGCTTGTTAATTAGTGAAACAAGGAGGAGAAACGGGCTGAAACGTGCTTCCCGATGCAGCGGATATCATGACACTGGTTTATCAAGCTGCTTGCCTCGTGTCTTAATTAGGCCCTCCTCATCTTCTCATCTCTCCAGATGTATAGACGCGCACTCGTAATGTTACATTCATCCATCACGCGAGGGAGATGGGCTGACTCTTCACCTTTCAATCTGAGACACTTTGCTGTATATCTCATTCGTGTTCACTTTCCCCTGTATAACAAAGTATGGGTTTCCCTTTTATTCCCTCACAGTTCCCACACATAAGGCACAATGTGAAAGTCTTAATGCAGCTTCCAAGCCATAGAGAATGAGAGGGATGCACTAATCCAACCTTTTCTTTTCCTACCTCAGCTCAGAGTATGTCCAACAATGAGTATCAATCCAATACCAGTTTTCTCTTTTTCACATATTCAGAATCTGTGCAGCTCATTATGTGAGTACCATGGGTATTATATTTTGCATGGAGTACATTCAGTGCAGCCTGATGAAGGCATAAACCAGTCTGTGTTGGGGTATTTTAAAGCTTCAGGCCCATTTAAATAAAGCCCTTTTACATTTTCGGCCTGGATTCTTCATGCCATTATTTTTGGACGTAAGCTTTTCTCAAATCTTTTTACATTTGCATGTCATATTGTTCGGGACTCTATTTTCTCTATTTAAAAGCAAACACAATTAGGTTTGACCAGAAACGTATCTATTCATTAATACCATTTTTTTTTTTTTTTTGGTGGCTACAGGCGCTGGTGCAAACCAGGTACAACCATGCTCACTCAGCTGGGTGCAACATGGAGGAGAGGCTGAATACAATTTTACTGTGAGGGATACAGAATCAGCAGGTGGAGTTGGGCTGAGTTTCAGTTATGGGTAGATACAAAAACAATAGACTCGTGCTTGAGGAAAATTGCATACAGATTGTGTTTGCCCTTGCACTTGCATTGCGTCTGCAGGAAAACACAGCCCCTGGGTTACTCAAAACCGCTGGCTGGTATTTATTTATTTTGTGAACTCCACAGGTCATCCATGGGTCACTCACTCACAACACTGCAGTGATTTGAAGGGTTGTAATGGAATGGTCGCTCTACTTTGTTTTTGGCTGCTGGCATACCGAAGGCAAACAGGTTTGAAAACAGATTGGGCTCTGTACAGTTGATACAATCAAAGAATGCCGGGCTGTTTGTTGCCTTGGGTCATCACCACACACAAGTAGCTGTGACGTGTCGAATATGACAGAGGTATATCCTGACATGTTGTGCGTACACTGATGATTTGTCGCCACTGTTTGTTAGTGTTAGTGCCATGTTCACATTTTTTTTATGTCAGGACTTTATGACAGCTGTCATGTCTTCCATCTGGCCAAAGAATCTACAAAAGAAGCAACACACCAATGACACAACAGTTGCAAAGCCATTGTCACTGCTGGGAGGGATGCTTCATGTTTTTGGGTTTGGGTCAAGGTTATTATAGTTTTTAAATTTTCATTAGTTTTTTTTTAATTTAGTTTTTCATTCTGCTTTTTTATTTCAGTTTAGTTTTAGTTAGTTCAACAAGCGATTTTATAGTTTTAGTTTGGTTTTTATTTTGAGGAATCGACTAGTTTCAGTTTAGTTTTTATTTAGATTTAGTTTAAGTTTTTCCAGGTATTAAGAGAAAGCCTTGACTTGTAGAAGCTGAAAAAGGATGAAACAATGTGTGACACCAAATATGGTTTATCAAGTCCTTTAATTTCATTCTTTAACCATCACCTGCAGGACAGGCAGTAATCGAGGGAGAAAACGAAATGACAACGGAAACGAAGCTGAATTTATCTGCAATTCAGTTTAGTTTAATTTAGTTTTGCATTGCTCATTGTAGTTTTTATTTAGTTTCCGGGTTTTTTTTTGGTAATTGTCGTTTTTATTTTTATTTCAATTAACTAAATTATTTTTTCAATGCTAGTTTTAGTTTTAGTTTTCGTTAACTATAATAACCCCGGTTCACACGCCGTGCATGCATCAGTGTGGCCCAGGCATTCTAGTGTTAGTGAATGATTAAAATATCTCGGCCCTCTCACTCTGCCTTTTGCTCCACATTTCCCCGCATCATCATTATTGATTCATCTGTTAAACAGGAGACTCGAGGGACATGTCTTAATTTTATGATGATTTTAAGTAGCACGGGCAGACGGTCATCAATGGATGAGTGTCTTACCTTGCTCTGGCTCTGTGGCTGGGAATAGCACGGAATTGTTGTCACTTATCACCATTCAAGAATGATGGATGGCGAGCAGGATGTGTTGAGTGCGGATACTTATGTTGCTGCCAGGGGAGGAATAAAATCATTGCCTTTATTAAGTGGCATTCGCTAGAGCCAGCTGGATTGGTGTCCTCCCCACTGAGCCCCCCATTATGACAGTGATGGGGCCTTGAGTTGATTGTGGCAGTGAGTAGCAACCTTTTCCGTCTGTATTGGCCATGTTTCTGTCGATATTAGAGATGCAGCTCTCATAGAGAGGGCAGCAATCGGAGAAATATCTGCTCTAGGACGAGCATCACTTAGTCTAACAAGGGAACGACCCAGTGTGTGCTGTATGCAAAGGCTGCAACTCTCCAGAAGTTGTGGGGTCATTGTCATACTTGCTAAGCAGTAAGTGTGGAGCTGCGAGCACTACTCATGCCTTATGCGGTCTTTAATTTATCATTGTGGGTTTTCACATTGACTCCTTTATGTGCTCAAGTAGTTCCATCATCTCCTTCAGCTAAACACAGCGAGGTCCTCCAACACAAGGTTGGACTTTTGATTAATTTTTAAAAAAGGAATTCTGAAAATGTTTCTGAAAAGGCTCCTTTCTGTGGTCTACAGGTACTGGGCCGGATTTTAGTGAAAAAATATATTCCGCTTTATTGTAGAGAGGATGGCAGTAAAGTGCCTCAATTATTGCATTCCACAGTGGTTTGTCATGAATCTTTACTTAATTTTATTGACCCTGAACTTAGAATCCACATTTCCCAAGTTCAAAATCCTTATCACTGAATATGAACATTGAATATTATTGAATCAGTTTTGTCCAAATAATGCCATTGTGGGCCAATGCATTAATATTTTCACTCAATATAAAAAAACAACTTTTCTTGTCTATAGATTTTTAATTAAAAGAATTTGTATGCTGAGAAAACCTCCACATTTATCCTCATGTTTCAGTTTTTTTGGGCCAATAAAGTTTAGTTGTGATGATTGAGAGCATGAGAGATGAAAGCAGCGTTTCTTACAGAATGAATTCAGTCTTTAGCGGGGGTGTACATGCACCCTCTCATGCTCAACAGGATCTAATAAATGGACACAGACTAAAGAGTTATAGATACGATTTCACGTGAGGGGAAAAAAACTGCATTGATGCCGCAACTGCAGTTGAAACTATATGAGGTCTGACTGTCTGTGTGGATGGTAAAAACGCTATGGACATAGCATGAATATGTGGCAAATAGAACTGCACACACCAAGTAAGAGATCTATTATATTAAATGAGAAGTGGAAAACATTTTTTGGTTCATTATGGAACTGTGGTGGGACAAATTAGAATGTGAAAGGCCACCACAGTCTAGATAATTAATTGGAAACACTGATTAAGGCATCTACTGACTTCCTGTTGGCACATATGAATGCAGTACATTATTTGATTATATTGCTCAGTCGGAAAGTCTCCAAATGTTGGCATGTCATGTCATCTAGGAACTGTTTATGTACAACTAAACCATAACAACAAGTTCATTTTGTGGGAAAAGTCATTTCGACTGGGTTGTGAATTGTATTAACGAAATAAGGATTTGTTTGTGATTTAAGCATTTGAAGAATTGCGACAGCCAATGTCGAAATGGCTTTCATTAATATTTTTAAGAATGGACTTTTCTTAGAGGTTTCCTTGTTCAGTTTAGTTCCCTCAGAATGTATGTCATATCCATGCAAAATTGCTATTGTTTGATGAAATATGAACTGAATCAATATTCAAACAACTGGAATCAAACCCAGCCCTTGTTAAGAAATTACCAATGCATATATGAACTGTCGAGAAAAGGTATATTAGGTGTATTATTGCGGCGCCAAAATGTTTTGGGTGCACATAAATGATGTGCTGGTGCACCTAAGTGAAACTATTAAGTGCACCGGTGCAACAAATGTAAAGGTTAGCCTGGAGCCCTGTTTCAGGTGAGCCCGTGCCAGCCTTTTAATGACAGGTGGATGTAGAAGCCTTGGGCTTAAATTGACTAATGCTACAGCACAAGTAATACAAGCATTCTGGACTTTGAAGTGTTTTCTAATGTCCACAGCTACAGAGCCGCTTTATTCACACTCTCAGAGAGATAAGATCCTCTCTTCAGTCACTTCATATTACATATTAATTGCTTGAGTTTGGACTGTGGAGTATTTTCCAGTCCTATTTTCCACGAATGTGCATTCCTTTGCTTTTAAGCTATTAAAGTTGAGTAATTACCCACAAGCCCATGCCATGTTCACTAACCCATGCAGAAGCCTGCCAGTGCCTCTTGTCTCTTAATTACAAATTTGAAGCAAAATAATTAGACAGATATTTCCTCCTCCTCTTTTTTCCCTTTACCGACTTGTGTGTAAATGCCCAGATGACCTGATGTGTTTGCCAGGAGGGAGGGAGAGGGGAAAAAAGGCTGCATATCATCTGCATATTACAAAGGAATTAGCGGCTCCTGCTGCTGCGGTGGCAGGAACATCCCCTCACCAGGACACGCTCTCTGAAGCTGCGTTCATCATTAGAATATATATTAACTGTTATAAATATGGCTCGGATTATGTTATTGTCTAATTATCTTTGCTTTGCTTTGCTGCTAATGAGCGGGACAGGACAGCTAAATGAGAGAGTCTGGTTTTACATTATTTGAAATGTGCCGTAATAACGCTCATCAGCGTGTTTCTTTTTTGTTACGCGGTTGCTTTAATTAGCTCTTCGTCTGCACTCCTTAATAAGAAAAGAGGGGCGCCGCTGCTAATAATACCTGTAATGTATTTGTTATTACATGATGAGACAAGACGAGGAAGATGTGAAATTATTCCTCCTTTTAAATGTCTCTTAATTGGAGGAGGCATAATTGGAGCTTCCGTTTTCATTTCCAATGCGAAGCCGACTACAAAAACATTTGTATTGCAGTCACAGACCCACCACTATGCTAACATGCTGCTTTCTCCTTTAGCTCCTCTAAAATCTACAACACACTCACACTTGATCAGATTAATTTCAGGCCGAACAGCATCACTTCAACTGTCATTATCCCAGAAGCTGCACTGTAATGTAACTGTAATGTAAACAGAGGGGTGTTGAGTGCTGCAAAAGTATTGAAGTACAGTGTGTGAATCTGATATTACGACATCACAGATTACATTACATTCCATGTCATTTACCCAAAGCGACTTAAGATACATTCAACATCTATAGGGGGGGGCCCCAATTTTAACATGAGCTGGGAATCGAGCCACCAACCCTCTGTTTGGAGGATGATCCACCCCCTCGGCCACAGCCACCACTGAGGACGAGCAAACGCATTGAAAGTGTTACAGTATAAGCTGTTACGTGAGTTAAATACGTGAAATGCCCACCATGCATTGGACTGTACCGTAACTAAGCAGGATAAGTGAATAATTTATTTATCGTATAGAATAGAGATCAGAAACAATCTGTGCTAACTATTATACTCAGTAATTATGAAAATGAAACATAACTTATAAATGTATACATGGCCTGGAACAAGAGCACACACAGGATAACATTTACATTCCAATACACACAGGTATTTAACACACACATGTAATGCAAATTGTTTGAAAGATATTGCTTTAATTAATATTTATATAATTACACACTAAATGCAAGTCAGTTAATTCAATTTGTTGAGGAAGAAATTCATCAGACATTAGAAAATATTCCAAAAATGTGATGGTTACATCTCTAATGGGAAGTTTTGATGGTGATGTGATTTTTGAAGTGTTAGTAAATCAGAATACCTTTGGGAATATTAAAGAGGCTACTTTTCGCTATTTTCTGATATTTTAAAAGTCAGATGATTAAAATAATTTGACATCTTTTCACGTAGCTCGCTGATATACAAAGAGCACATTGAAGAACCACCATTATGTTGTTATCCTCTACACACAAACACCTTCCTACTACACAGTTGTTACTCTCCAACACATGTCTCGTCCCACCCATGCCACCAAATGGCCCACGGGCGGTGGTGTACAGTCTGCTGGCATCAATAATGGCCTCTCTCATTGGCACCGCTGTGTCTCTGAAACAATCCCAGACTGCACAAACACAGGGCTGCACAGGCAGAGACAGACACTGGAAATCAATGTCAATTGTCAATGCACTTCAAGGTAACATCATCCCAGTGAAAAGGATCAAGATTTCAGAGCAAGCCTGCGCTTCACAACTGTTACTTCAGACGGAGATTGAAACTGAAATAAGTTGCCTTAATGTGCCACAAATGGATTAAATTTTCTTCAGACTGAATTTAAATTTAGTTTCTACTTAACTTTTAAAAAACGGAAAGAATAGTGTGTACTGAAGTAACAAAGGTAACCGAGCCTGAGTACTGAAGTAACAAAGGTAACCGAGCCTGAGTACTGAAGTAACAAAGGTAACCGAGCCTGAGT